GTCAGAGAAATGCTGTGCCCTGCTAAGGAACAAAAGAAATACTGTGCCCAGCAGAGCAATGCAGTGAAAACCTAGCTGCTGTTGTCCTGTGTGGTGAGCAACTGTGGAATCTTCCACATGCATGACACTGTTACCTGTAAGTACCTCAGTACTCATCTCCTAAGCCTAGGGACATTCTTCTGCATGAGCACACCATCATTGTCAACTGTGGAATCTTCCACATGCATAACACTGTTACCTGTAAGTACCTCAGTACTCATCTCCTAAGCCTAGGGACATTCTTCTGCATGAGCACACCATCATCGTCAACTGTGGAATCTTCCACATGCATAATAACACTGTTACCTGTAAGTACCTCAGTACTCATCTCCTAAGCCTAGGGACATTCTTCTGCATGAGCACACCATCATCGTCAACTGTGGAATCTTCCACATGCATAATAACACTGTTACCTGTAAGTACCTCAGTACTCATCTCCTAAGCCCAGGGACATTCTTCTGCATGAGCACACCATCATCGTCAACTGTGGAATCTTCCACATGCATAATAACACTGTTACCTGTAAGTACCTCAGTACTCATCTCCTAAGCCTAGGGACATTCTTCTGCATGAGCACACCATCATTGTCAACTGTGGAATCTTCCACATGCATGACACTGTTACCTGTAAGTACCTCAGTACTCATCTCCTAAGCCTAGGGACATTCTTCTGCATAAGCACACCATCATTGTCAAACCCGGGTAAAATGGCAACCATTTTGTAACTTCATCTAATAGTTTGTCTATATTCAGATTTTCCCAAAATGTCTTTTATAGCAACTTTTTTCCCCAAACAAGGATCCAATCAAAGTTCATGAATTGTATTAGTTTGTTCTTTCCAGATAATTTTTAATTGTTTGAAATAATTTTAGGTGTAGAAGAATAGATAAAAGAATAATGCAAAGGATTTCTGTGTATTTTCCACCTAGATTCTCCAAATGTTGACACTTTGCCACATTTGTTTTATTACTCTCCCTCATACATAATCAGAATAGTACTAGTATGTATTTCTGAACTGTTTGAGAGTAAGTTGCAGAAGTGATGCCTCATATCCTTAAATATGTCTGTGTGTGTTCTTTAAAACCAGGATCATGTCACATTTGTTTATCATGTCTCTTCAGTTTTCTTTCATCTGAACCTTTCCTCAATCTTTGTCTTTCACGACCTTGATATTTTTGAAAAGTTGAAGAGTTCTGAACAATTATAATACAAGTGTCTCTTGATTTCTATTTGTCTGTTTCCTCATGATTAGATTCAGGTTTTCTGTTGTTTTTTTTTGGCTGGATGTAAGGTGTGTCCTCAAAACATTATGTTTAGGAGGCACATGATGTTGGTTAGTGATGGGATGCTAACTTGTGACTTTAGTATTGGTGATCACTGGGTTAAATGATATTTGTAGATTTCTTCACTGTGACTATTTTTCCCTTTGTAATTAATAAGTAATTTGGAAGATACTTTGAGACTCTGTAAATATCCTGTTCCTTATCAAACTTTCATCCACTAATTTTGGCATCCATGGATGATTCTTCTTGACCAGGACTTTTTGCTTTTTTCTCTCCTAAATGACCTCATAAACACTATTTTATAACTCTGTTTTACTCAAAGTTTCTTCCAAAATTCTAGCTAGTTGGCTGTACAAATCTTTCACTGGTATACTGTATTCAGACCAGGTGTTGTTGAGTCTCTTCCTCCTCACACCTTCCCTTTGGACAGGTGCTTGTTCTCTCCCGGAACTTTTGCTGGCTGAAGCCATCCGTTTGTTATGTAAGATGTTTCGCATGGCATTTCTGCTTTGTCCTATTTTTTTCTCCTGCCTGTTCCTGGTTTTAAACAAAAAATATTTTCTTCTTAATACTCATTTCCTCAAATCCATCAACTTCTACTTTTCAAGTTTAGGCCTTTGACATCTCTCTTTGTAAAAGACTTTCCTATTGCTATTGTTTTAAATCTATGGCTTTCCGTCTCCAAATCTGCCATTTTTTCTACAGTGTTTTTTTTTTTTTATCTCTCCCATTTCAGCTATTGAAAATCACCTTCACTGAGCCTTTATACATCTCTTTCAGTGTGGGCTACTGTGATTTGAAGACTGTGTCCCAATAGTTGTCATCTTTTACCTCGAAATACTAAAACATGAAAATAAGCAAATTCTGTACTGTTTCTGTCTAGCCCCTCTGCTTCCAGGGAACTGACTTGTGTCTATTATCTGTATTATCACTTTTTAATTTAAGTGTGTTTCACCAATATTTTCAACGAGTTCAGTTTGTCTTCCCAAACAACTTTTGAACTCACTTTTTCAAATTAATTTACTCATTTTTTATTTATCTCCGATTTCATGTCTTCTCCAAACTTTCTTGCTGCTGGCAATAAAGTTAATCTTCACTGGGGGCCATTCTATAGGCCCATTCACTTTTCTCTTTTGTTTCATGTTCAATTTGGTATGTTTCCCAGGGAAGCAATGCATTCCATTTGAGATTCTGAACCAATTTTTCCCTCCCTTTTAGAATGTCCTGCCCTTTGGCCACCTCCATAGCTCTGTCTGTATTCCCACGAAAGTTTCAGTCTCCCTCTGAAGAAACACTAGGTAAGGTGTAGTTCTCACACGTGAAACCTTCCATGGCTGCACCATAGGCAAATGCTTTCTTGAACTGCAGCTACCATTTCTGGAGCTCTTTAGCATGTATTTGCCTATTCCAGTTTTAACCTTTGTCTTCCATGAAATCAAGCTTCGTTTTTCAAAAGGAATCCACTTTGTTGTGTGTTGTGTATGGCAAAGGGATGTGGCACCTGACCACAGACAGCCTCTAAAGTCTTTTAAATTATGTGGAGGTTTGTATGCATTTTTTCTTGGAAGGAGAAGGTTTATAGCTTCATCAAATTCTCAGAAGCATCCTGTCTCCCTTTCTCAAATTCTGGTTCAAGTTTAGATTCTCTCATCCAAAAGCCAGTCAGGCTATTGTTTCTGCATTTCAGCATCTGAAGAACTGCCAGGCAACAGAGTCTTCCTTCTCCTGTCCCATTCTCAAAGCTTAGCCTTTCTCAGGATAATGAAATTCTAAATAGCTCTCAGTACACCAAGGGAACCCACCACTACAATTTAAAAATCTATCAATTCCTTAATTCCAGAGATTTTAATTACCGCCTTGGATTCATGCAGTCGAGTCTATATTCACTCTGTCTATTGAGCAGTTGCTCCCCTGCTTTCACAGGCAGATCATTTCAAATAGTTTTCCCTTAAAAGTGTCCTTCTGGGCTACTTTTCTCCTTCCAGAAGCTGCATAAATGTTCTCTCCCCTCTTAATTCTGTCCCCTTTGCCTTCTGCAACCCATATGGAAGGCAAAATAGACAAGTTAAAAATGTCTGCCTTCTTCCCTTTTTGTCTTCTGCATCCCCCACCACAACTTTTTTTTCTTTTTTTTTTATTAATTAATTTTTGTTACAGATGTTTCTCCTTTTTCCGCCACTGATTCCCCCCTCCCCCTCCCTCCCTGCCCTTTCCCCAGCTTTGTTGTCCATGTCTGTTGTTCATGCGTACATGCGTATAAGTTCTGTGGTTTATCTCTCCCCGACCATCCCCTCTTTAGGGGATTGTCAGTCTGTACTCCACTTCCACGTCTCTGGAACTACCCCGTTCCTCAGACTGTTATGTTCATTATATTCCACAAATAAGTGAGATCATATGAAACTTGTCTTTTTCTGTTTGGCTTGTTTCACTTAGGATGATACTTTCCAGGTCCCTCCATGTAGTCTCAGAGGATAAGAGATCTTTCTTTCTTACAGCTGCGTAGTACTCCATTGTGTATATGTACCACTGCTTTTTGATCCATTCGTCTACAGATGGACACTTGGGCTGTTTCCAGATCTTAACTATTGTAAATAGTGCTGCTACAAACATGGGGATACGTATATTCTTCCTGATTGGTGTTTCAGGCTTCTTAGGGTATATTCCTAGAAGCGGGATCACTGGGTTCCAACCACAACTTTTCAAACTACTTTCCTCTATCCTGCCCCAGTCCTTCCTTCCTTCCTTCCTTCCTTCCTTCCTTCCTTCCTTCCTTCCTTCCTTCCTTCCTTCCTTCCTTCCTTCCTTCCTTCCTTCCTTCCTTTCTCTCTCTCTCTTTCTCTCTCTCTTTCTTTCTTTCTTTCTTTCTTTCTTTCTTTCTTTCTTTCTTTCTTTCTTTCTTTCTTTCTTTCTTTCTTTCTTTCTTTCTTTCTTTCTTCTTTCTTTCTTTCTTTCTTTCTTTTCTTTCTTTCTTTCTCTTTTTCTTCCAAAATTGCCACTTGAAACTGACACTCATCAAATTTTTGAACCAAAAGAAAAAATGCTGAGATACACATAGCTACATTCTCTCATTTCCACTCCTGTTGCCCTTAATCTTGAATTCTTTGTCAGTTAGGCCAACCCCAAATCAAGTTTTTACACGCCTTTCCCTTTTGCTCCCTTTCCTCCCCGTTCTACTCACAGACGGCCCTCTCTTATCGTCATTTTAACATTCTCTTCTTCCTCTCCAAATTCCCTTCCTCTCTCATCCCTCCATAGCCCTTTTTGATTGCCCTTCTCTTCCATACACTTCATTCACTTAAATGAGGACTGTTTATTTTGACACAGTCTCCGTGAGGTAGTGAGAGCAAATGTGTTGTATACTCCATCTTACAATAGCTGAAGTTTGGAAAGTTTAGTTTATGTGTCCAACACAACACAACCAGGTACCTTCCATAAGACTTACAGACCCAAAGCCCTCTTGTCACACAGTTTATTTAAGGCTCCCCTTTCTTCTTGGAACTAAAGATGAAGATAACAAATGGAGGCTATTAGCTCATTTCCTCAGGCCATCTTGATATCTGGGTGCACCTTTCTCAGACAGATCAATTTTATGTTTTTGCTATAAATAAAACATGCAATGATTGCAAACTCTCTATTCAAAATATTTGTCTCACAGTTGTACCAGTTTATTGTTTAATGTTGCTTCTTAAAACCTGAGTAGGACACTGCAGGGGTTTCTTTTCTCCTCAGCCAGGGCTGAAGGCCAAGATCAACCTTGAGGATTATTGCCAGGGCTACCATGAGCTGGGCAGCTTTGTTTTCCTACCTCACACATTTGGGAAAACAAAACAAAACTGAGGACATTTTAACATATCCAAAATTAGGTAAAGGAAAGGAGATTTTTTTATTATCACTAAGAATTGTTTCTGTTGTAGGAGAGGTTATTTTTTTTAAAAGGTAATGAATATCTTTTTGCATCAAAGCAGATGCTGAACTGGTGGCAAATCTCAGTGTCTAACCTGCAACAACATACGGATGGGGAGTCCAGATGTGTTCAGATGTAGAAATGAATTGATAATATTTCAATGTTGTTTCTTGTTCGCTTGAGTATAGAATATAAGGACAGTAGAGTACTGTTTAGCTGGTGTCTGAGTGTCCTGAAAATTTTGCCTAATTGTTTAATTAAAAAGAATCAAAGATTATTTTGGGGTCTTGGAATCTTTTAGAGTAAGTTCATCACTGATTTTGGTAGACACCATTTCAAGTTTTCTCAAATTATATAGCTGGTAGAGCAGTGGGGTTGGGACTTGGACCAAGCTCTGGATCCCAGATCTGGTGCTCGTCTGGTATATCGCTACCATTATTTAGTCTTTGAAAATGGTCCCTGTATCAGGCTAGCTTTTGAATATAGTACCACACATATTCAGGAAGACTTCACATATAATTTCTGAATAATCTTGGGTCACCTTAGAAACAATGCAATTTTTGAAAAGTAAGTAGAACTTCAAATAAATACTTTCAATGTAAAGAAAAGAATACATTTGGTTTCATTCAATTATAGAGTCTTTTATAGATTTTATTCACTTCCGTTGATGAATCCCTGTATCACTGGCCCAAAACAGAGCTTGTTCACAGAATGTGTGAAGAAAATGTTTTGTTGATTAGATTGAACAGATATCTCATTTGTATGCTAATTATTAAGAAAGTGAAAGCCACTTCGTTGTGTGTGTGTGTGTGTGTGTGTGTGTGTTTCATATTTTCACTTTTTAACAAACAGTTCCTAACATTTTGCCATGTAACTTTCTATTGTGGAACATTCTCCACTCTGAAACTAATTGCAGCACTGTTCAAAATCTGAACACCCCAACTCCTCCTTTTCCTCTTCCTTTCAAAAATCTGTCTGTCAGGCATATATTTTAACAGAATCCATGTGTTCCTTTTTTCCCCTCTTACCTTTTCTTTTTTTTTAATGAGTCTACTGTGCATATCAGGGCATGGCTCTTGGCATTCATCTTACATTATCATGACAAAGGATGATCAGTTTTCTTTTAGTTTAATATCAGAGTCAGAGGTCAAGATATTGTTAGTTGAATGTTTTCCAGTGTTTTTTTATAATCTTGTTTGTGCTCTGCTAGTGTTCAGAATTGGTTGGGAATGTTTTTATAACCCGGTCGTTAGTGGTGGTAAAAGCAACATGGACAAATAAAGCTTTGAATGACTTCACATCCCCCCTTACACCTAAGGAAACAATTAAGATACTTGTGATTGTGCCTTTTGAGTTGTTGCACTTACAGCAAAAAGGGAGAGCAGAGAAAAGAGGAAGGAACGCTGTATTATCTCATTAAAAAGACCTAAATTTTGCCCTGCTGGTGTGGCTCAGCGGATTGAGCATCATCCCATGCACCGAGATGTTGCTGGTTCAATTTCCAGTCAGGGCACATGCCCAGGTTGTGGCCTCAATCCCCAGTAATGGGGCATGCAGAAGGCAGCCAAATGATGTGTCTATCTTTCCTCCCTTCTTCCTTTCTCTCTATCTAAAAATATCAATTATCCTCACCCGAGGAATTTTTTCCATTTTTGTTCAGTTAGAGGGAGGGAGAGAGAGAGACAGAGAGAGACAGAGAGAGAGAGAGAGAGAGAGAGAGAGAGACATTGACGTGAAAAGGACACATGGAGTGGCTGCCTCCCGCACGACCCCAACCAGGGTCGGGGACAAACTGCAACCAAGTTACAAGCCCTTAGTGGAACCAAACCCAGGTCTCTCTGAATTGTGAGCTGATGCTCTCACCACTGAGCCAAACTGGTCAGGGCAAAAAAATATATTTTTTAAAAGTCCTAAACTTATATCTCTAGAATAATATGGCAGTGGTCTTGAGTTAGTTTATAAAATAAAAACAAGTGAAGCACTCTGTTTAAAAGATAAATGTTCAGGAAAAAAATCACTGGAGAACTTACAAATTAGAAAGTGATCTAGGGGAAGACAATTTGCTGAGTGTTAAAACAACTGCAAAACAATTGATGTAACATTGTAGCTATTCATTGACTAATAACCGATACTCAATTTACATGCTTTGCTCTATTTCTATATATAGTTTCTGATAACATTAGAAGATGCTTTGCATGATATGGTGGAAAACAAGATTATAATCTGCTTAAGCCCCTATTAAATATCTATTTACTGCATTTATTATCTACTTTGCCAGGATATCAGAATATACATCACTGATGAAAAAATTATAGTCCATATAAACTCCTATTAAATTCCCATTTATTATCTCTTCTAACTACACATCAGATTATCATAATGGTTCATTTAAAGCTGGCTTGCAAATAAACACGTGTCAGAGGCAGGAGGTGATGCATGCTGATAAAATAGTGAAAATTGAGTCCATTATATTGATTTAATTTTTTATATAACAGAACAAAAGTTGTCTAGTATAACAAGGCAGTTATTATAGGTAACACCTGTCTACAGCTGTTTTGTTTTAAAATATATTTAAGTAGGTCATACTTTTATTCACTTTCAAAACTTAAAATCCCAGCCCTGGCCAGTTTGGCTCAGCGGTTAGAGCTTTGGCCTGCGGGCCAGAGAGACCCGGGTTCAGTTCCCGCTAAGGGCACGTACCTTGGTTGCAGTTTGTCCCCAGCCCTGGTTGGGGTGTGTGGGAGACAGCCACTCGATGCGTCCCTTTCACGCTGATGTTTCTCTCTATCTCTCTCTTCTTCTCTCTCCCTCCCACTATATCTGAACAAAAAAATGGAAAAATGTCCTCAGGTGAGGATAAGAAAAATAAAAATAAAAACTTAAAATCCCATACTCAGAACTTTATCCTGGGTTGAAAGGGGGGGACTGCCATAAACATTGGGCGAGAAGAGAAAATATCATGTCCCTAAGTTTGGTCATTCTACTTCCCCACTTTTGGGAACCATCTACAAATTGTCTTTAGTAAATATTTGGAGAAGATGAGATTGAAAAATATTAGGTAACTGCACACATGCAAAACTAGGGAGAAAAGTTATGTTGAAAAAAAAAAAAATGAAAGAGCCAGTCAGTAATTTACATTTTACTTCTATAAATACATTGGCAGTTTCTATACCATTTCCCAAAGCTGTCCCCAATACTCACCTTTGGGACTTTTTCTGATGTTTCTTAAGAAGGCTAAATGCTATCTTGAACATTACTTTTTAAAAACGAAGTAGAGTGTCTTTTCCCATAGTGTATTCTAGGAAATGTTCTGCAGACTGGGGGTGGTGATGATGGGACTAGGGGTCAAGTTCCTGGTAAATAAGATTGGGAGGTTCTCACACAGTCTGTCTTCCTCTTGACATACACAGTGCATATTAGTATATGAAAAATACTGCTGTAAAGCACATTCTTTAACTTGTTTATCCCAGCTTTTCACAAACCTAAAATGATTGTTTTTTACTGTTTTAACCTTTTATTTTGTTACTTATTTTATTTTACCCCATTTATTATTATCATCATTATTATTATTTACTCTAACACACCTGTAACATCTCTAAGAAACAGCATTGTCTTTTTAGGAAACATTGGAATAGCCTTCATCCTTTTTTTTTGCAATTATTTTTATTAATTAATTTATTTTTGTTACAGATGTTTCTCTTTTTTCCCCAACTGATTCCCCCCTCCCCTCTCCCCACCCTGTCCCCAACTTTGTTGTCCATGTCCATTGTTCATGTATATATGCAGTATGTAGAAGGAAAAGGCAATAATTAATTACCGGTTACAATGTTCACTGATAGCACTGCAGATTTTGAAGAGGTAGTAATGATGTTGTAAAAAGGAGGTAATAAAGGATTGTGAAGATGAAGTCTATTCCGGTGGGGGAGAGATAAACCACAGGAATAGCCTTCATCTTCACGATCCTTTATTAGCTCCTTTCTACATCATTATTACCTCTTCAAAATCTGCAGTGCTATCAGTGAAAATTGTAACCGGTAATTAATTATTGCTTTTTCCTTCTACATGCTGCACAGATACATGGGGCTATAGATGGAGTACTCTCAGCACTGTTTGACTACGATGAGGAAATCTTAATAAAAAGTAGTAGGTCAATAAGAAATTAGTTTGATACATTTAATACACTTTTGAAATATAGGCCAGAGTATTAAATCAGCTTTCTGAGAATAGTTAGTGTGCTCATGTATATTTAGAAGACAATGGTAACTGATAGAATAGTGTCCATTTTAATGCATTTTTTAGGCCCAAACAAAGGAAAATATTTCTGATAAGGTTTTGAATGTCCCAAGGTGTTGGTTGTTTTGCCCCTCCCTTATATGCTTTAATATGTTACAACTCCTAGGTGGTTTGTATGCTGTGGATTAATTATATAGCTTTAGTCACTTCAAGAAACTTTACAGGAAAAACTAAACTTTAAATTTTTAAAAAATTCCCAGTTTTAGATAAGACAATTTTGATGCTGTATTGTATGGACTTAGAATTCTGAGGTTTTTGAACAGGCCATGCATCAATATAAATAAAAGTTTAAAAAATAAATATTTCAGAGTTTTCAGTAGGTTTTTATTCTAACCTGCAGTCCATAAAGTTATTTTTAGGAGAACTAGAACACATTATTCCTGCAAAAAGTTTACATTTGCTAATAAACAGGATTCTTGATCTTAAAAAAAATCAACAACTTTCTGTATTATCTGATCTCATACAGTTATTTATTGTCATAGTTGTGCCTAATGTAATTTATTGTCATAGTTGTGGCTAATGTTCACTTTGTAGGCACACAGTTTTGCTTTTTTTTTAGGTAAAGATTGTAGGAGTTCCCACTCAAGGGCTTAAAAAATTCAGAGATGAGAGTAAAGAA